AGAGCAATCCTAAGAAACAACAAAGCTGAAGGTATCATACGTCCTGATTTCAAACTACACTACAAAGCTATAGTAATCAAAACAGTATGGTACTGGCATAAATACAGAATAGAATTAAGACTGTGAAATAAAGCCCCACATATACAATCAACTAATTTTTTTTAAGTAATCTCTGTGCCCAATGTGGGGCTCAAACTCATGACCCCAAGATCAAGAGTCACATGCTCTACCAACTGAGCCAGCCAGGCAACCCTAGGATCAACTAATATACAACAGGAGAGCCACAAATACTCAATGCGGAAAGCACAGTCTTTTCAGTGAATGGTGTTAGAAAAACTGGACAACAAGCAGACAAATGACTAACCCCATTTCTTACACCACTCAAAATGGATTAAAGACTATGTTGTAAGATCTGATATTGTAAAATCCTATGATGATAATCATATTGCAATATACAAATATCAAATCAACATGTTGCACACCTTAAACCTAAAATGTTATATGTCAACTGCATCCCAATGAAAGGAAGGAAAAGAAAATTCTCCCTTATCTACTGATTACCTATTAGGAAAAATTCCATCCTCCCTCTCTTTTTTAGTTGTTGTAAAAATATGACAAACCAATAAGGACCAAACCATGCATGCTCACAACATACCCCCTTTCTCCTTCCTACCCTTTTCTTCTCTTCCTCTTCTACTTTTACTCTTGTTCCTTGAGTAGCCATCCACAGCTATTCAAGAACAACCAATCTCAGGATACAAAATCAATATACAGAAATCATTTGCATTTCTATATACTAACAATGAAGCAGCAGAAAAAGAAACTAAGGAAACAACCCCATTTACAATTGTACCAAAAATAATAAAATACTTGGGAATAAACTTAACCAAGGAGGTGAAAGACCTGTACTCTGAAAACTACAAAACATGATGAAAGAAACTGAAGATGACACAAACACATGGAAACGTGTTCCATGCTCATGGATTGGGAGAACAAATATTTTTAAAATGTCCATACTACCCAAAGCAATCCACAAATTTAATGTAATCCCTATCAAAATACCAATAGCATTTTTCACAGAACTACAACAAATAATCCTATAATTCGTACGGAACCATAAAAGACCCTGAATAGCCAAAGCAGTCTTGAAAAAGAAGAATAAAACTGGAGGCATCACAGGGCACCTGGGTGGCTCAGTCAGTTAGGTGTCTGCCTTTGGCTCAGGTCATGATCCCAGGGTCCTGGGATCAAGCCCTGCGACATTGGGCTCCCTGATCAGCAGGGTGTCTGCTTCTCCCTCTCCCTCTGCCCCCCTGCTCATGCTCTCTTTAGCCTCTCTGTCAAATAAATGAATTAAAAAAACTGGAGATATCAAAATCCCAGACTTCAGGATACACTACAAACTACAGTAACCAAAACAGTATGGTACTAGCACAAAAATGACATATAGATCAACAGAACAGAATACAGAGCCCAGAAATAAACCCACGATTATTTGGTCAATTAATCTTTGACAAAGGAGGCAAGAATATGCAATGGGAAAAAGACTCTTCAACAAATGGTGTTGGGAAAACTGGATAGTTACATGCAAAAGAATTAAAATGGACCACTTTCTTACATCATACACAAAAATAAACTCAAAATGGATTAAAGACCTAAATAGGAGACCAGAAGCCATAAAAATCCTAGAATAGAGCACAGGGAATAATTTCTCTGACATTGGCCACACCAACATTCTTCTAGATATATTTCCAAAGGCAAGGGAAACAAAAGCAAAAATAAACTATTAGTACTACATCAAAATAAAAAGCTTCAGCATAGCAAAGGAAACAATCAACAAAACAAAAAGACAACCTACGGAATGGGAGAAGATATTTGCAAATGACATAGCCAATAAAGGGTTACAATCCAAAATATATAAAGAACTTACACAACTCAACACCAAAAAAAAACAAATAATCCAATTAAAAATGGGCAGAAAACATGAACAGACATTTCTCCAAAGACATCCAGATGGCCAGGAGACACATGAAAAGATGTTCAATGTCACTCATCATCAAGGAAATGCAAATCAAAACCACGATGAGATATCTCCTCAAACCTGTTAGAATGGCTAAATCAACCACATAAGAAACAACTGATAGCAAGGATGTGGAGAAAAAAGGAACCCTCATGCACTGGAATGCACACTGGTGCAGCCAGTTTAGAACACAGTATGGAGGTTTCCTCAAAAAGTTAAAAATAGAATTACCATATGATCCAGTAACTACATTAATGGGTATTTACCCAAAGAAAATGAAAACGCTAATTCAAAAAGATATATGTCCCCCCCCCCGTTTACTGCAGCATTATTTACAATAGCCAAGATATGGAAGCCACCCAAGTATCCATCCATAGATGAATGAATGGACAAAGATGTGGTACATATATGCAATGGAATATCATTCAGCCGTAAAAAAAATGAAATCTTGCCATTTGCCACAACAGGGATGGACCTATAGAATGCTAAGTGAAATAAGTAAGAGAAAGACATAATACCATATGATTTCACTCATATGTGAAATTTAACAAACAAAACAAATAAAGAATGAAAGAAAAAGACAAACCAAAAAAAACAGACTTTTAAACATAGAGGACAAACTGGTGGTTACCAGAAGGGAGTTGGTAGGGGGATGGATGAAATAGGTGAAGGGGATTGAGTACACATATCGGGATGAGCACTGAATAATATACAGAATTGGTGAATCACTGTACTGTTCACCTGAAATTAATATAACACAGTCTATTCATTATAGTGGAATTAAAAAAAAAAACCAGCCAATTGACCTACACAGCCTAATCCAAGAATTACCAGATACTTGGTGCTAAGCCACATGAATTTTATTCACAAATGAAAAAGAATGCAAAAAGATCAATTTGCTTAAATTTTCCTAAGCGACAACTCTATTCTAGGCCAGTGATAAGGACAACTCCAGGGTCTGCCACCTTTTTAGATTCAAAGCCAAGAGGAAACACCAATGGTCACTCCTGGAGCCACTGTCAGTGGTGGTCTGGAGTGGACCTTACATCCCATATCTATTTCACTCCCTGCCTACTGAAAAACAGCACTGCTGTTTGCTGACCTGTCAGCTCAGGGGTGGACCTGACTGATTAAGGGATAATCCCAAGTGACTGATTCAGGAATGGGCATGTGACCCAATCCTCGCATATGAAAATCCAGAAGAGGCTGGCCGGAAGTTTCTGGTGGATGCCTGCAGTCAAATCCAGACCCAGCCAGGGCTCTGGTAACAGCTATCTGAATTTTACTTGCAAATGGAAAAATGCAAGTAATCTCTTCAGAGAGTTATGAGAGAACAAACTATCTCTTAATCTGAACATGAACAAGGATGCAAACACCTATTGCTATGACAGCATCCTAAAATCCAACCATGAAAGAGGACGCCATGCATAAAGCTAACACAGAGGAAGGAGGGCAGAAATAAGAGACTTACAGAGAAACAGAGCCTCAACTGTGCCCAACTTACCTCCTGACTCTATGGCAAACAAGTAATATTCCTTAATATTAAAGTCAGACAGAATCAGGTTTATTTTACTTACAGCCAAAATCCCTAACAGACTGGTACTATTTTTATAATCGGAAAAATATATATATTTAAAATATCAATGAATAAGGGGGGAAAAAAAACAGGCTATGCTCAATAAGAGCTTATCAGAGAAATACTAATGATCCCTTCCACAACTTTTGCTGGATATTGCTACATATACCTCCTTCTCATACTATGTGATATTTCTTATTAAAACGGAGTCTGTACTTTCCGGAAATGCTCAGATACTCTAATCACAAGAAAAGCATAGTCAGGATCAGAAGCACAGGATGGAAAGGGGATTAAGGGATGGCAGACTGCCAAGCTTCAGAGCCTTTCCCGCTCCCCATCCCCCAACCTAAGCTTCTTTATCAATTTTCATCACAGTAATAAATTGAACAGTTTAAAAGTCATGGCAATATTCTCATCTTGGACAAGATGACCTCTTTAGACAGGGAAAATGTTTCAATGCACTCTACCAAAAGACCTATTGATCCTGGGTGGAGCCTGGTCAACTAGTCAAGTTGAAGAGATATGGCCGAGTCTTAAAAGACCAAAGTGAATCCACAGGACAGAGTGGCAGGAGAGGTAGAGACAGAGAGAACTCAGGGGATCTGCAGAGGGTCCCGCTCGAGTACTCAGCAGAGTACTGGAGGGCCCAAGAGCATGATGAAACTACGGAGGCTGAAGGAAAAACCTGAAAGCATGAAAGACCACCATAATCAGAGCTCCCAGACGGCCAGAATGCTTGGGGACACAGACATTCCATCTATAGCAAAAGCCAAGAAGCAGAGAAAAACCGTAATTAAGTTGGACCTGCAACCTGAGAAGTACCACAGGCCAACAAAAGTAAAAGGGCAGCATCATTTTATCTAGAATTACCCCATAAATTTTGGTGGCCTATGAGTGGCAGGGCAGGGGAGAGGGGCATACTACTAAGTTCCTTCCTAGTGCCAGGCACTTGAGAGGGATCAGTAAAACACAGTCCCTGCCCTTGTGTGCATTCCGTAGTCTTCAGGACAGATGCATCAACTCCCTCCTCTGAGATACTCCTTCGGCTTTTGGCCAGCAGCCAGCTAAAAGGTCCCCTCCTTGAAAAAGCCTTCCTTCATCCCTCTAGCGACTACAGAGTAGCCTGCTTTCCTTTCCTTACCGTACTCTTCACAATTTCTAATTATCACTTATTATTATTGTATGATTATGATTATTGTTTTGTCCCATGCACATTTAGAATATGAGCTCCATCAGCAAAGAAATCATGTCTGTCATCACAGCACAGCATATAACCACTGAAGGTACTCAAACAATTCCTGAATTAATGAAAACAAGAGCTAAGACCAGGATAAGTTTTCTGATGATCAGCATTTCCTAGGCTATTGGTTCCCCTAGTTATGAAGGGGCATACGAAGTACTTACCTCTACCTGAGTCACATTGATGACCAGCACCACCACCATCAGCACTGCAAGCAGACAGCAGAAAAGCCGTAGTTTGAAGGAACTGATCCACATTGTCTGGCTGTGTCTTGATCACCCATGGCCGACGCCATGCTACCTTCACTCCTCAAAACTCCATGTCTTCGTTCTTCTGATCTGCAGATGAGCTTTAAGCTGAATTTGTTTCTTTTCTGCTAGTATCATTAAGAGTTCTTTGTATGGAGGAGAGGCTGGGGTTGATTTAAGCAGCACATTTTTCTTCAAAGGACTCCTTCAAAGAGGGAAGATGAGAATACAGATCACCAACTGCAACAGCCTAGCGTGTGGTAATAGGAAACATGCCACACTTCTTCCTTAACCCTCTCAAAGGTCCAAAGTCATGAGGGGAAAGCAAAGAGCCAGAGCACAGTAAGATCTGTTCCATATTCAATTTGCTCAAACCCAACCCCAGACTTCCATATAAATACAGCGATATTTGTCCCGCAAATTTTAGGTTTTCACTTTGAAGAATGTCTTCAAACCCTTAGAATTAGAAAATTAAAGTCACTGTTAAATTTCTAGAGGTCTAAATAAAATCACTCCCCTTCCCTTATAGTTCAAGTTATATAACACTCCTGAAGTAATTATATTTGACAAGCATTGAGAGGAAACCTGGTGATTTTATGCGGAGTTCTGGAAGACTGTGCAAACCATCCTGACCTCCTCTAGGAAACAAGGAGTGCTGTCCCCCTGCACAGCAGAAGACATGAAACACCCTTTGGACATCCAGCTCCCCCACCATATATGTAGCACTGATGATGCTCCCTCAGCTGAGTAACAGGGCCCAGGAGGGAAGACACTTGCCCTGAAGATATAGGAAAGAAAAGCTAAGCCTGAGGATTAAAAGGAGACCCAAATCCTTCATCATAACTGCTAGAGGCAGAGGACTTCAGAGCCTGCCGCTCCTACCTGTTCCCCCATAGAATGAACTCAAAATGCTCTCCCCAGTTGTTATTTTAGTTTAGGTAAACAGAAAAAAATACTAGGATTTTGTTTCTACCTAGACTCTCCACGGAGGGCAGGGTGGAGAAGTCAAGGTGAAAGGGTGCACAACTATGGCGCAGAGGATCTTTGAATACCTCAGCTGCACCAGAGTTCCCTGCAGCTTTGTACTGGACCTGGCAAGCTGTTCTCCTCCCTCACTCTTCCACTCCGCCTGTCTAATCCTCTCCCATGCCCAAGGACCACGACAACTCCTCCTCACCTCTGCTTCATAAAGGAGACAGAGCTAGGCTATTCTAACTTGCTCTCCATCCTCAGAATTTCCACAGCACTTTCTTCTCACTTCACTTCTCAGCGTTTTCACTCCCCTGTATTTGTATGTATTTCCTGTGCCCCCAAGTAGACTTATACCAATTACGATTTAAAAAAAAAAAAAAAAAACGAAAACCAGAAATCAGGGGCGTCTGGGTGGCTCAATAGGTTAAGAGTCCAACTGAAGGTACTCAAACACTTCCTTGGTTTTGGCTCAGGTGGTGATCTCAGGATAGTGAGATCGAGCCCCAGGGTAGGGCTCCGTGCTCAGCATGGAGTCGGCTTGTCCCTCTCCCTCTCCCTCTGCCCCTTCCCCCACTTGTGAGCTTTCTCTCTCGAATAAATAAAATCTTAAAAAACAAAACAAAACAGGGGGCGCCTGGGTGGCTCAGTCGGTTAAGCGTCTGCCTTCAGCTCAGGTCATGGTCCCAGGGTCCTGGGATCGAGTCCCGCATCGGGCTCCTTGCTCAGCGGGGAGCCTGCTTCTCCCTCTCCCTCTGCTGCTCCCCCTGCCTGTGCTCTCCTTCTCTGTCAAATAAATAAAATCTTAAAAACAAAACGAAACAAGACACAGAAACCATGTATCAGAGAAAAAGCAACTTAGTAATAACAATGCCTCACACTCCTTTGAGTCCCTCACAGCATCTCCCCCCTCACATGATATATGTTGATTTGACAATGCACAAAACAAAAAATTATGGAGGCCTACTCTGTACCACACACTGTACTCAGTGCCAGAAATTCCCATGGAAAAGCTTACACTCCTCTCCTCAATTAAATAGGAATATTTATTCCTCTACAGGCTGTCACCTCTACAGGGATACCAAGCACTGTGGAAGACTGCACTCAAGCCTTTGATGACCCCTCAACCCCTCCCCTCTCTAACACCCAAGCACCCACTCACCCCAAAGTGCCTGTAAATTCTGGGAAGGAGTGGCTACGAACTAGAAGAAATAACTGTCATCAGGGCCCAACTGCTCCTCCGCAGAAACCCTCTCAAGGAGGTGGCCATAAGAATCATAGGCTTCCAGGGGCGCCTGGGTGGCTCGGTCGTTAAGCGTCTGCCTTCAGCTCAGGTCAGGATCCCAGGGTCCTGGGATCGAGCCCCGCATCAGGCTCCCTGCTCAGCGGGAAGCCTGCTTCTCCCTCTGCCTGCCACTCCCCCCTGCTTGTGTTCCCTCTCTGGCTGCATCTCTCTCTGATAAATAAATAAAATCTTAAAAAAATAGGCTTCCCTCACGCCCAGAGAGGGAGAAGACCAAAGATGATACTCCACCGAGATTCAGCAGCACAACAGTAAGCACAGGGTGCATACTGCGGAAACACCAGCAGCTTCAGGAAGGTCAGTGTTATTCAGAGCCAGGGGGGCAGCAGTGCAGCGGAGGTCAGGGGTGCAGCAGCACGGCAAGGGCAGCAGACTCCAGAACTACAGGGACTAGAGGGATGCAGGCAGCAATGCAAACATGCAAGAAACCCCTCATGGCCAAGGACTTGTACTGAAAATCATTCCTGGAGGGGCATGCCAAGAAAAGACCCAACTTCCTGCTAGGAGCAAGCAAAGCACTGAGCCTTGAGAGACCCACTTGTGTATCTAAGTGGATGTGGCTTGAGGCGCACTTAGACCTCTCTTTGAAAAGACATATATTAAAATGTTGATAGTTGCTACCTCTGCGCAGCTTTTTTTCTCCTTCATCTTTATCTTTGTGTCCTAGTTTTTCACCGGGAAATAAAAATTACAAATATAAAGAAAAAAGCAGGTTTCTAAAAGTAATAATTAAAGACGAGCCATAAGGAGAAACAGAGCATTAAACCAAATAGAGGAAAACAATTCAATTTAAAATGAAAAATTTCAAAGGGAAAGAAGGAATCTCTAATCATTCTCTACTGTTTTCCTACAAATATAAAACCTAGGCATTATAAGAAGAAAGTTATTTGCAAAAACAGCAAGATAGTATCATTCGGTATCTCAAAGTGCCTTAGAATTGAGTAAAAACAAAAGTGCTAGATGGGAATGACTCTAAGGAAAAGTTTCCTAGATCAATGAAAAATAAAAATACATTACTGAATGTTATTTACCTTTTTTTTTAATTTCCAGTTCCCAAGAAGAGGTGCTTATTAGAACTAAGGGATTGAGCTTACATCTAACTTTCCTTCCAGTGTAAAGTCCTGAATTCAAGCAATCATGACAACACTTATTCTCTTCTTGCCACATTCAAAGCACGGGTTGATGTTTTCTCATTTTGATACCATTCTTCCTGCTGCAACAGGGATACGCATATGACATACAGGTTAAAGATGCTGAAATTAAGGAAAACATATTTGAAATAAAGAGTACAATTTTATACCAAGATGCACATAGATTTCAGTATAACATAGGAGGAGAAACATTTCCTTTACTACTAATAAAAAACAGTAACTGGCTATTTATATATATTAACTTAAACACAACAAGTCACTCCTGGATCTGAGCTGAAGGTCAAAACTTTATAATTAGCAATATAACTGAAAAATCACAAATCAAAGATAAAAGCTCCATATGTTACTTTTCTTAAATACTAGAATAATCATGTACTTCAACAACCCATCCCACCACTATAGAAAACAAGAGGTATTTAGATCCAAAAGTTAAGATTACTTCAGGAGGAATTTAAATTTGAGTGATCTTGTTTTCAAATCCTTCTAATGTATCAGTCCACCACTTAGTCATGCTTCATATTTATGTTCGAAGGACAAGCCAAAAGTAAAATGCACGGTCTGTTGGGTCTCTTTCGCCAAAGCTGATTAAGACTACCTGCCAGCCAATCTAACTTCTTTATGGCCTGTCGCAACAACCCTAGACTGCCATTATGTATACCTGACCTCCTACCCCATCTCATAAGAGAATTACAGAGTGACTGCTTCATCACTGGGAATTAAAATTGTCAGTAACATCAATGAGATCGTTGAGTTCAGTACTAAAAAGAAAATTAGGCAGCAAACCCCTCCTCTAGGGAACTAAAGTTCTTAGACAACCATTTCACAAAGACAATGTATTACAGGATAACCACACAGCCAGTTTCTGGGACAGTCCCCATTCTAAAAACCCCGAACTGCTATCCACATAAATATAATTGTACTTGCCAGACCAAATGTCTAGAATTTTAATTCAGAATACATGGACCCCCTACATAGAAGACAGATCACAGATTTACATGGAATATAACCAGACTTAAATATTTATATATCAGGGGCACCTGGGTGATTCAGCCAGTTAAGCATCCAACTCTTGATTTCAGCTCAGGGTTGTGAGATCAAGCCCCATGTCAGGCTCCGCATGGAGCCTGCTTAAGACTCTCCCTCTCTCTCTCTTTCTCTCTCTCCCTCTGCCTCTCCCCCTCTAAAAAGTTATATATTAAACTTTCCAAATTGCAGCTGTATAACTCATAAACACAGAGAACAAACTGATGGTTGCCAGAGGGGAGGGGAGGGGGGGGGCGAAATAGATGAGGAGGATTAAGAGGTACAGATTTCCAGTTACCAAATAAGTAAGTTATGAGGATGCAAATATAGCATAGGGAACATAGTGAATAATACTGTAATAACTTGTATGGTGACAGACAGTAACTACACTGATTGTGGTGATCATTTCATAATGTATATAAATGTCAAACCACTATGGTGAACACCTGAAACTAATATAATATTGCATATCAACCATACTTCAATAAATAAATAACAAACAGCAGCTATATTTCACAGGGTGCTGGATAAGACCCTGAAACTTAACAGGCCAGGCCCTAGAGAAAGAACTGGAGACATATCCACAAACATGACAATGATGGGTCACCAAATAAGGTCAACCCTTGGACAAAGAGGAAGCACAGCAGTGGTCTGCAGGACTTGTTTCCCCTGATTCCATTTCTCTTTCATTTATCCCCACCTCACACACCCAAAGTGCTAACTCACCACCCAGGCCTTCCCTTGCCCTTCTTCCAAAGCAGCACCCCATGCTTTCATGGGGGGCTGGAGGGGTGGAGAGGAGCAGATGAGAAGTAAAGAAGTCAGTTAAATAAGTCACAGAGTAGTAAGAGCTGTAAGAAAAAAAATAAGGCACATTGGTAGGCTGTGTTCTTTAACCTTGCAGGCACATTAATATCATCCTGTAAGCTTTTAACAATGCCAATGCTTAGACTAGACTCAACTAACTGAATCGGAATCTGGTGGGAGCAGGGTCCAAGAAACAGCTTTTAAAAAAAGGTTTCCAAATGATTATAATATACTGCCAAGCAGGGGAACCGCTAGTATAAGGTGGCCAGAGGGGTTATTTGTATCAGTGGGTCAGGGATGGCCTTTCCAAAATGATCTCGGAATTGTAACTTACACCGTCCCCTCAGGACAATCCGATTCCAGGGTAACAAGGACAGCCAACCTCGCTTCAGTGATCTATTCCTTCGTTTCCCATCTCAGTAACAAATAACAGCACTGTATCAGGCCAGAGACTGTGAAGGAGACAAGAGACTAAGTACAGTCAAAGGAAAGCAGAACCCAAACACCTTGGAGGAAAGCGTGTTGCTGCCTCCACTGCATGGAATCAGACAATTAATGATTAGGGTCTGGGAGTCCCGCCAGCTTCAAGTACACCCTGATGTTCCAAATGATAACCACACTGAGGAAGGGGAAGGCCCATTGAGCAGTGTGATTTTCATCTTTAGGAAACTGGCAGCAATCCTCCTTTAGAGTAAATAATGAAAAGAAAGGAAAATTTTACAGACAATTACACACAAAATTCGTATAAATCCTGACGGAGAATGCCACTTACCACCACCCTACTGGCCTTTGGTCAAGCGGAGATGGGTGACAGGCCAGGGTTTCCACATCACACCTTGCAAAGTCACACGCTTCTCTCCCCATACGACCTGAATCTGATGTCCCAAAGCGTCAGCTCAGTAATGCCAGAAGAGTCCAAAGTGTGAGAGCATCGCCAGGCAAGTGGCAGCTGGATCCCGGGGCAGCAATGAGACCGGAGAATGGGGCTGAGGAGGGAGGCGTCGCAAGGTGCACCGCACCGAGTTAGGGAGAGGTCTTTGGCGGCTGCACCTGCCCGCCTTGCAGCAAGTCCAGAAAACTGAGCGCGGAGATGCTTGCGTCAGCCCCGCCCCCTCCCTGCCGGGACCCGCATTGGCTCGGGCAACTCAGGTCCGAGGCTGCGGCAGCCGAAGGCTGCAATTCTTCCCCCGCCGAGGGCTGAAGCCTCCCCTTTCTGGCTCCAGAACCTCCAGCCGTGATCCCCAAGTCTGCAGCTCCTCTGCACCAGGCCGGGGACTCAGAGGTCGGCGCGTGCGGAGGAAGGGGCTTCGCAAACTAGAGGCGCTCGCGAGGCGCCAAGCAATGGGTCGCTCGGGCGGCAGGGACCCAGCCCGGCGCCTGCGCACAAGCCGGAGTCCCGCACTCACCGGCAGGCCCAGCTGTCCGCGGTGCTCTCTCCGGTCGCTTGGCATTCGGACGCCCAGATCTGGAGCCGCTGCGCCAGACTGCCTGGCCCCTGCTTCCTGGCCCCGCTACGTCTCCTCACCCCCGACCCCCGGCTACAATTGGTTGAATTCCAGGAGGGGCGGGCCAAGGACGCTGACTGACAGCCGCGGCCGCCCTGCGCGGAACGCTGAGCCCCGAGGCGAGGCAAGCGTTGTGGGCGCCGCTCGTACTGCGGTGCCGCCTTGCTTCTGCGCGCAAGGGGGCCGCCCAGCTGTAGCCCTGTGGCCTGAGCTCTGGCCCCTCTCGGGACCGGCTTCTCTCGCCTTCGAACATCAGGGTTTCCCAGGGACAATCTGTTTCAAGGCTTTTTTCTTGTCAGCGAAAATGACCAAACCGGAGAAGCCCCTACTTGGGCCGTCTTTCCTGTCAGTGGCGGAACGTATTGTTTCTTCTGCCAGAAAAAAACACTATTGGCCATGCACGAGCACTGGGACGACGGATCCTTACATCTTGCCCTGCTTGAAATTAGTCGACTTACTCTATTTGCCCTTAAAACAGCCTGTTCCTTTTACTCTCCCTGTACATAACATAGATCTTGTGACAAAAATGCCTGCATACGTCCCCCCCCCCCCGCCCCAATTCTGGGTTATCCTATTTTGGACATTCCTCTAAGCGGTAAGACCTCCACGGCTATGTGAAATTCAGAAACTGACAGGAGTCCTTGGAAGACAGAGGACCCGCTCAGGAAGCCGGAAGGTACTGCGGACTGCTCTGTGTTCTTCAGTGCACAGTGGGGTTAATGGAATTTATCCCAGCAAAACGCAGGCTCTAAAAATAGACTTACCCCCAGACTATTATCTCAAGGTTGAAGAAGAACTAATACAAATTGCAACTAACATTAATTATTTTTACATTTACTGACCACAATGGACTCTACGTGCTTATTCAGATGTTTTCGTGGCAGGACTACATGCATGGGTGACTAGACCTACAAATGGAAGAAAAGGAGTTTCATTCTCCTTCCTGGAGAAATTCAGCCTTCCAGGGCCTATTCATAAAAGTGGCTTCCGTTGCCTCTGTGCCAGATGAAGAACCCCATATGATAAACTTGTGCTCTAAGTCCTATGTCCCAGACGCCCCATCACCTATCTTTTACAGTTTGGCTGCCTGGTAAGTGGCAAATACTTGAACAGGATATGCTGACTTCTAGGGCATGGTTTTGGACCACATTAGTGATCTCTGATAACCCCTTTCTCACACAGGCACTCATAACCCTGAAGCAGTTGAGTCATCTTACCTACTATATACAGTCGTTTTAGCCACAAACAAGAGCAGCCAGGACCAGAGAGGCCTGCCTATCACTACCAGATATTTTCAAATAAATCTGACTGCAAAGTCACCACACTCCCAATGAAAAATACTATCATACACAAAATATACAATTTGGATCTTAGCCTGACTGGGGCTGACACACAGCTCTGCCTCTTACTAGCAGTGCCATCCTAGGCAAAGGATTTAACTTCTCTGGGCTCAGTTCCTCAACTGTAAATTGGGGGCAACACTACCTGCACTTAGAAATAAATGAAATGACAAATGAAAAGTCCCCTAGCACAGTGTCCCAAATCTCTTCCTCTTAAATTCCCTACCTCAGGTTATGACATGGCATAAGGAATTTCTGAATAATACATTTATGATAATCTAACTTTGAAAGCTGGAAAAAAAATGAGAACATAAGGTTTGTATGTCATGATACAAAACCAAAGGAACTGTTAATTTCTGACCCATCAGCAAAAAAGTTTAGATGCTAATGTTACTAAATTTTATTTCTCTAAGAAAACAAAGCATGGATCTTAAAGTTAGATAAGCAAAAAAGCAAATTAAACCTGTTTCTGATGTAGCTAATTTGGGGGATATTTACCAACAACCTGGCTCCATCTCTGATGGCAGAAGCTTGGGGCACAAGCACTTCTGAGCCCATGTCAGTTCCTGCTTGTTTGCTTCTGAACCCTTTGAACAAGTGACTAAAATCTGGCCCCCAAGCCCCTCAAACCATTGTTCAAAATAAGTGACTACTGTCACATTAGGTACCAAACACCCTATTTCCATAACACCATTGACCATGAGAAGATTCTGCCAACGGTAGGAGACTAGAAGGAAGAGGAATTTGGTGCCTGTATGAGTCTGTTCAGGCTGCCATAATGAAATGCCATAGGCTGGGTGGCTTAAACAACAGAAGTTTATTTTCTCACAGTTCTGGAAGCTAGAAGTCCCAGATCAAGGTGCCAGCTGATTCAGTTCCTGGTGAGAGCTCTCTTATTGGCTTGGAGATAAACCCCTTCTGTTTCCTTTTTTTTTTTTTTTCCTAAAGGAAGTGTGTGAGTGTGTGTGTGTGTGTGTGTGTGGGCACTTGGAGGCCTCAGGAGCTCTGCTGGGCAGTGCAAAGGAGCTTCTTCTCCTGCTACTTCATATCCTGTCTGAATTCTTCTAGCTCTCCATGCTGGTCCTCCTTCTCAGGTTGCCACAGCTCCCTCTTGTGCTGTATGACATAGTCCTCAAACCACCTGACCTGATTGGCAATCCAGAACATAGCCACAGGGAAGGTTAGGTAGTGTGTCATCTAAAACACCTCCAGCTTCATTCCCATCTTGTTTCTTTATCCCCCCTCCCAAGGACACCAGTCTCATTGGATTAGTGCCCCACCCTTATGACCTCATTTAACTTTAATTGCCTCTTGCTGAGAAAGGCAGTCTCATGCATGCAGTCTTTCATACATATGGCCTTGGCCTGGAACACTTCCTTACCAAGAGATGAAAGAGTCCTCACAGCTTGTGCTGGAATTTTTGCCCTGTGTGGGACTTTCTTCGTGTAGTCCTTTAAGACACCTGAGAATTCCTTCGCCATTTCCACCGTGTGAGGACACACTAAAAAAACAGCCATCTATGAATCAGAAAACTACCCTCACCAGACACCCAATCAGCTGGTACCTTGATCTTGGACCTCGAGCCTCCAGAACTGTGAGAAATAAAGTTATGTTGTTTATAAGCCACTCCATCGCTGGTATTCTGTTATAGCAGCCCAAATGGACTAAGACCCTTATACTATCCACTCAAAACAATTTTTCCCAAAGCCACTTAGGTCATCCCCCTTTTTCTTACCCGTTCAGTGAATTTATGTCATACACCTGTAATACTTAGATTCAGTTGTCATAATCCATACTCCATCCTAAGATCCCCTGACATCCTACTTGAAAATTTTGGGGGTAAAATTTACATATAATAAAACTTCAGCCCTTATGTACTATTCTATTAGTTTTAAAGGTCAGTATGTGACGATAAAGAGGTCAATTTGTCAAAGATCTAACAATTGTAAATATTTAGATATAAATATTAAATATTATGTAGATAAATATCAGATATATTACATAAATATATAAAGCAAATACTACCAGAACTAAAAGGAGAAATACAGAGCTATACAATAATAGTTGGAGACTTTAATATTCCATTCTCAACAATGGATAAATTATCCAGATAGAGAATCAATAAGGAAACAGCAGATTTGAACAACACTACAGACCAAATGGATCTAACACATACAGAACATTCCATCCAACAGCAGCAGAACACATTCTTCTCAAGAGCACATGGAACATTTTCTAGGATAGATCATGTTAGGTCACAAAACAAGTCTCAGCATATTAAAGAAGATAAAAATTATATCAATTATCTTTTCCAACCACAGTGAAATGAAATTAGAAATCATTAACAGGAGGAAAACTGGAATATTCACAAATACATGGAAATTAAACACATTCCTGAACATCCAATGAATAAAAGAAGAAATTAAAGGGATATAAAAAAAATATTTTGAGACAAATGAAAATAAAGACAAAATACCAAAACTTAAGGGACGCAGCAAACAGTTCTCAGAATTCTGTCAACCATATTCAAATTTTAAAAATTTATTTTAGGGGCAGCTGGGTGGCTCAGTTGAGCATCTACCTTTGGCTTCAGGTCATGATCCCTGGGTTCTAAATTGAGCCACGCATTGGGCTCCCAGCTCAGTGGGGAGTCTGCTTCTCCCTCTCCCTCTGCCTCTGCCCCTCGTGCTCTCTAATAATACAATCTTTAAAAAAATTTTAATTTAAAAATAAAAAAAGCATCAGAACAGAAGGATCTATAAGGAGAATAAAGGGGTAAAAGGGTAGGGCAGGGAGGGAGTGATAACTGCTAGATGATCAGACTTGTCAAACTATTTGGGGTAATCTTCTTAAATGTATACAGCAGATCTAGTGGAGCATCTGGAAAAAATAAGAGTGGGTATATAGCAGATCATGGGACTGAAAAAAATAAGGCAGTTTTTAATTCGAAGAAATTTTTTTAAATGTTTTATTTATTTATTCATGAGAGTCAGAGAGAGAGAGAGAGAGAGAGAGAGAGAGAGAGGCAGAGGCAGAGGGAGAGGGAGAAGCAGGCTTCCCGCCGAGCAGGGAGCCCCATGCAGGACTCGATCCCAGGACCCCGGGATCATGACCTGAGCCGAAGGCAGATGCTTAACCATCTGAGCCACCCAGGTGCCCCAATTCCAAGAAATTTTTAAAAATATTTTATTTATTTATTTGAGAGAGAGAGAATGAGATAGAGAGAGCATGAGAGGCGGGAGGGTCAGAGGGAGAAGCAGAGTCCCTGCTCAGCAGGGAGCCTGATGCGGGACTCTATCCCGGGACTCCAGGATCATGACCTGAGCCAAAGGCAGTCGCTTAACCAACTGAGCCACCCAGGCATCCCCAAGAAATTTTTTAAAATACAAGAAAAGATGGGGCACCTGGGAGGCTCAGTCGATTGTCTGACTCTTGATTTTGGCTCAGGTCATGATCTCAGGGTCTTGAGATCGAGCCTACAACTGACTCCACAGTGTCAGTGCTCAGTGGGGAGTCTGCTTGAGATTCTCTCTCCCTCTCCCCCTCCCCCTACTCACATGCACACATGTTCTAAAATAATCTTTAAAAAAATACATATATATATATGAATGGAAATGTAATCATAGTATAATAGTACCCTATACAGTAAAATATATTTACTTACATAATAATAAAGACTGAATTTTGACTTCACTAAATTTATGGCCATTATTCACAGTAGGAAAAGGATGGTACAGAGCCAAGTCCTCAGTTATCATAAGAGGAACTCAGTTGAAAATGTCTAAAACTTAGGGATCAGGTCAAAACAGCATACCGAAGTTAATACCAGAAGAGATAGCTCAGAGGTAGCGTGGGACAGGGTAGGAGACTGCCATTTTTCATTATTTTATTACTATGTGCATGCATTATACTGTATTGACAATATCTTTTAAAGAGTAAACATTTTTTAAGTTGAAACAAAAAATAAAATTTTATATGATTTTTAAAAATTAAAAAGGAAGCAGTTCTCAAAGGGAAGTTTATAGTGATACATCAGGAAAAAAGACCTCAAATAAACAGCCTAATTTTACATCTCAAGGAGTTAGAAAAAGAACATATTGAACCCAAAGTTAACCAAAGAAGGAAATAACAAAGATTAGAATATAAATAAATGAAATAGAGAACAGGAAAGGAAAAGATTAATAAACTAAGTTGGCTCTTTGAGAGGTAAACAAAACTGACAAACCCTTAGCTAGACTAACCAAGAAAAAAAGAGAGAACTGAAATAAAATTATAAATGAAAGAATATTACAACTGATACCATACAAATACAAAGGATCATGAGACTACTATGAACAATTAATACAACAACAAATCAGACAACCTAGAAGAAATAGAGAAATTCCTAGAAACATACAATCTACCATGAGTAAATCAGAAAGAAATGAGTAAGGAGTAAATAGTTTTGTGTGTAAACAGCCACCCAGGCCCCCCCCCCATCTTTTCTTGTATTTTAAAAAATTTCTTGGAATTAAAAACTGCCTTATTTTTTTCAGTCCCATGATCTGCTATATGCCCACTCTTATTTTTTTCCAGATGCTCCACTAGATCCGCTGTATACATTTAAGAAGATCACCCCAAATAGTTTCACAAGTCTGGTCATCTAGCAGATGATCAGATGATCAGACTTTTACCCCTTTATTCTGCTCCTTAGAGTACAGATTCTTTTGCTCTGATGTTTTTATTTTTTTTTATTTTTAAACTAAATTTTTTAAATTTGAATATAGTTGACACACAATTCTGACCTAGAAATATATAATCTACCAAGAGTAAATCAGAGAGAAATGAATAAGGAGTAAACAGTAAAAAATAATGAGTAAGGAGATGAAATCAGTAATCAGAAACCTCCCAACAAAGAAAAGCCCAGGACCAGATGGTTTCACTGATGAATTCTACCAAACATTAAAGAATTAATGCCAATCCTTTCAAACTCTTCCCAAAAAATTTAAGAGGAGGGAACACTCCCAAACTGATTTTATAAAGCCAGCATCAGTGATACCAAAGCCAGACACAATAAGAAAACTATAAGCTAATATTTTTAATGAATTTAGATTCACATTTCCTCAACATAATACTAGCAAACCAAATTCAAAAATACATTAGAGGGATAATATACCATGCAAAGATGGTTCAACACACACAGATCAATAAATGTGATGCATTGCATTAATAGAAAGATAAAAATCATAAGATCATCTCAAGACATGCAAAAAAAGCATTTGACAAAATCCACATTCTTTTGGGCGCCTGGGTGGCTCAGTTGGTTAAGCGACTGCCTTCAGCTCAGGTCATGATCCTGGAGTCCCGGGATCAAGTCCCGCATCGGGCTCCCTGCTCAGCAGTGAGTCTGCTTCTCCCTTGGACCCTCCCCCCTCTCATGGTCTCTCTCTCTCTCTCTCTCTCATTCTCTCTCTCAAATCAATAAATAAAATCTTTAAAAAAAAAATCCACATTCTTTTATGATACAAACTCTCAATAGACTGACATTAACATAACAAAGGCCGCATATGACAAAGCGCAGTCAACACCACACTCAATGGTGAAAAGCTGAAAGCTTTTCCAGTAAGATCAGGAACAAGGGTGCCCACTCTCACCACTTCTATTCAACAGAATACTAGCCAGTGCAATCAGGCAAGAAAAAGAAATAAAAAGCAAAATTGGAAAGAAGTAAAATTGTCTTTGTTTGCAGATGACATGATCTTATATATAGAAAATCCTAGACTCCACCAAAAAAATATTAGAACTAATCAATAAATTCATTCATGCTACAGGATACAAAAATCAGCATACAAAAATTAGTTACTTTTCTAAAACTAAGAACTATCCCATTCACAATAGCATCAAAAACAAAAAAATACTTAAGAATAATTTAACCAAGGAGGTAAAAGAGCTTTACACTGAAAACTAAAAGTCATTGATGAAAGAAATTGAGGAAGACTTGAATAAATGGAAAGGAATCTTATGTTCATGGGTTGGAAGAATTAGTATCATTATAATGTCTATACTACCTGGAGCCATCTATAGATTCAATGCAATCCCTATCAAGATTCCAATGACATTTTTTTTTTTTACAGAAATAGATAAAACATTGCTAAGATTCATACAGAACCACAACAGACCGAAATAACCAAAGCTGAAAAATAACAACAAAGTGGGAGGCATCACATTTCCTGATCTCAAA